AGGTTTAAGTATGATTAGTTTTCCTTTTCAATCCAATCATAAACTTATTTGATTGATAGAGACAACTCATCCCAAATTTTCTTCAGCAATTATTCGGTTTGAGAGAGCAATGATTTAAAGGCCATTCTCTATTTTGTTAACTCGGTTGTATCTTTAAGGTTGGAGTCTTTTAATTTCTTCATAGCTATCTCTCGAAATATTTTTAAAGGAATTGTATGCTTTAAATCTACTCCATGTTCATATTAGCATTCAGAACAAAGTTTTCTTTAAAATTAACACTTGTGAGGGGCTTTACATATCAAAGTGATTGGATTTTGAAAATGGTGGGTGCAATTTATCATCTTTTATTTTTAATATTGAATTTCTATTACTCTTACTTTTAGTTATATACTGCAAAATCGATAAAAGTATCTTGTGCATTTCTGAAAAATAGAAGTTATGACTTTGTATAGATTTGGAATTGATTGTAGTAGATGTTAATTATGCTATTGAGAATTCATTTCAATAACTGCATTACTTGAGATTTTAATTATATGGAATATTTTTATATTAGATGTATATTGTAATTTTTACAAAAATTGATTTCTATTATTAATTCTTTAATTTTTCATCTAATTGTTTTAAGATTGAAATATGTCTTACTCTTGTAATTCAATTGTTGGATTTCTAGTTGTATGGTTATGTAAAATTGGAGATATTTTCCAAAACTTAGTATGAATCCTCAGATCTATGTTAACACCTTTTAGTTTTAGGAGGGAAAATAGTGGTTATGGAAATATTGTATAAATTTTCTATAAAAAAAAGTAAAGGGGTTTTAGTGAACTTTTAATTTTGTAAAAATTGCGTCCACATTTTTGTCATAACCTTTGAAGGTGTTAACTAATATGCTTAGAATTGTACCCTCTATTGATTGATGTATGATATGTCCATATTTTATGAATCATTTTTTTAAATAAGTAATATTTTTTGGGATATTTTTTATTTATGTCCAAAATCTAGTATTACCCTTCTATTAGA